ATCTTCCTTCTTTGAAACCTTCATTACTTTTGTCTTCTTTTCATTTATTTTCATATGGAATTTCTCCAATCCAGTTTTGAACAGTCGATTCAGAATTTTCTGTAATCCCTCTTTACTTTCACTCAGCAGGACTATGTCGTCAGCGTATCTTATGTTGTTTATTAAGCATCCATTGATTTTCACTCCTTCGTTAAAATCCTCAAGTGCTTCTCGCATCATCCACTCACTGTAAATATTAAATAACAGTGGTGAAAGTCCGCATCCCTGTCTCACTCCTTTTTCCACCCTTATCCAGTTGGATTCTTTCTCATCAATTTTTATTATTGCTTTCTGATTTTTGTATAAAAAGAGAATAATTTTAATTATCCCTTTATCTATTCCAATTTTTTGAAGTATTTCAAATAAAATTGTGTGGTTAACATTGTCAAACGCCTTTTCATAGTCCACAAAGCACAGATAAAGATCTCTGTTTTTTTCAATCATTTTTTCTCCAATAAGCCTAATTAATGTAATGGCCTCTCTAGTTCCTTTGTTCTTTCTAAAACCAAATTGTGTATCATTTAGTTCTGCTTCAATTTTCGGTTCTATTCAATTTTCGGTAGTCATGTTCTTAATAAAATTCTTGCAGAACAACAACTACCCACAGACTTTACTAATTTAATATTTATACCTATACCCAAGATAGCAGGAACACTGGAATGCGACAAACATAGAATAATAAGTTTAATAAGCCATATGTCAAAAGTTTTAACTAATACTATCTATAGAAGAATAGAACCGAAAATTACATTATATTATATGATAACAAATACAAAAAGTGATTGCATTAAATCATTATAATTAAAGGAAATGCATAATGAGAAATCTAATTAATTGATAACAACAAAATCATTATTCAAACTAAGATTAATGAGTTCAAAACTCAAAAATTTTCAACCATAATATAACTATAAATTTTACTTGCTCTCACTAATTCACATATTCATAGGATCATGAAAAGTTATTATATCAATGAAAAATTACAATGAAAGAATGATTCATAAGCAAAATAAGCATAAAATTAAAGACCAAATAGATGAAATGACAAGCTAATGAAAATATAAACCAACATTCCCACAACCATTCAATAAGTTTGTAAAAATTATTAATGTTTGCAATTATTTTCTTATTGAGGTCTTATTTTTAAATATTAATCTGTATTTTGTATTATCAATTAGGTTTTATCAAAAACAGAAATAAAAGAATGCTTTCAGCTTTGTACATGATGAACTTTGTGTAATTTTGAAATATTTAATGAAATTTAAATTCTAGTTAATGCCAGTTTATAAAAAAATCCCAGCAACAAGTGCATAAGTTTCCCGGATATTATGAGATCTGATTTAGAAAATAACTTTTATAATTTTAATTAATTACAATATAACTTAATAAAATTGTGTTTGGTATCATCCGTTACAAGATTCTGTTATAAAAAAACAAAAAACTTTTTATATTTTTAATTACTATAAAATGGCAAAAAGTTTAATTTTAAAGATAGGGATGGGTTTTATAAAACATTGTAAATGCTAACGAGTAAAATAGTCATTAAGTCTGACCCAACTGGAGATATACACAACCCTTTATCTCCCCATTCCCTCAACCTTTAACCACCAAAGTTTAATAGCATCAATCTCTCATATACAAGTTACCATGTCAAATTTCTTTACTTGATCTTTACCCCATCCTGAGATATTGAGCAAAATAAACACCAACACATATCTGTGGAATTTTTTTGCCCCTCCTTTTTTTTGGCTTTTTTGGATTCAAGAGATCTCAAAACATGAAGATTTGCAAAAAAGTCAGAGGGTCAAATTTGACATGATTCCAATACTTTCCCTCGTTACATATACATAACAGCCAGAAAATTAAAGTAGAGAAATTTGACTCTAGTTAGCTTGTAACAACTAGAATCAAATTTCTTTAATTGCAATGATATGTAAGTAACTAGAAAGAAATAATATATACAAACAGTGTTTAGATTAAGAAAATAGAATCTAGTTAACACTCAATTTAAGATAAATTTGAAACTTAAGAACTTAAGATGAATTTATCTCTGCATATTTATTTACAGTGTCTTAGAAATACAGTACCAACATTCAAATAAAAAATTATCATTTCTAATGTAGCAATTACAAAAAGTAAATTTAATTTTCATGCATACTAATGAAATAAAATTCTACATTATTAAATCTTAGTTTTAACAACAAAAATTAATTACAAAAATTGCATTTGTGATAAACTTTTGTGAGTATTTTGTTCTCAATGATATTCTATTTCTAGAATAAGTGAAACGATTGATATCTACAAAGCATCAAGCCAAGGGCTGTGCATTACCTAGAAATAGAGACTGTCAAGAACAAAATACTCACAAAAGTTTATCACAAACCATATGCACCTTCCTTTTTCATACCTGTTGCCTCTAATGATCCAAAGAGTTTTAAAATTAATTACTCTTACTAGTTAAAGTAAGTGCCCTTAATTAAATAAATTAATCATAATTTATGATGATATTTTAATTGTGTAGTGCACAAAAATAAAGGACAATTTCCATATGATTGATTCAAACTATTGAATTCTGACAAATAACCTAAAATTGTTATCAGCAATTGAAATCAATCACCTGGCTATTACTTTTTTCATATCAAATAACTGAATAACACACTTTATTATTTTCTACACTTCAAGTATCGAAAGTAATATGAAGATATTCAAATGTTAAAGACTATTATACCTTAATATTTTCAAAATATTAAACACTATTCCGAAAGAAAAAATAAACTAAATATGAGGAAACTATATCAAAAATTATATTAAATATATCTGGAGATAATTACTAATAAAAACTATATATTATATGTTATAAATTATATTTCTATACGTAATTCTCTAAAAACATATTAAAATTAAAGGTAAAATTAATATAATTATTTCTGAAGTATTTTTTGTGACTAGACATGACCAAAATAAAATTTTCAGTTTGTTGAAAAGATATTTGTTTGTGGCTAATATTTCAAATAATTTCTATTCATTTATTAGATTTGTTATTCTTGAGGATTTAAGATGAAAGCATTTATATGATTTAACTATAAATTTAAGTATAACTTCTCATTATACTAATCACTTTTTGTGTTATCTTATTTCCTATGTTTTGTGCTAGCACACTTTTCCTAAAAATTGACTTATTTATTAAATACATAGAAGAAAATCGTGTGTCTCAAGGTCGTTCCATGGCTAATCCAGTACAGTAAGTCCATCTTTAGGAAGAAAGCACTAGCATGAAACAGAAATAACTTCTCATCTAAAACCATTAATGGTTAAAAACAAAATAATAATAAAAGTATAAAAAACATGAAAGTTAATAAATATTAAATAGTTTTTTTTATTGTTTTAAAACATGTTTCTTTATCACAAATTAATATCTAACAATCTATAAACAACTAGATAAGCTGTAATAGCTGTACAGTTTCTTAATAATGTGTAGATTAATTTTCATTCAGCACAAATACTATTATATTAGATAAGAGATGAGATAATGCTAACAGATTAAATTTTTGTACAAATATATTTTAAGTGCTTCAAAATTTAATAATTTGC